ATCCACACATATACCTGACAAACACAGAAACACACACTGCACACACCATATATCACACCGCAACACACTGTACATACACATGTCACATACATCACACATACTACACACCATACTCATACCCATATCACTAGAGATACATACAATAAACACAGACATTCCCACACAGATACACGTCCATCATCTGATACACTATGTACAGACACATCACACACACACACTTATACATGCATACCATAAACATACATGCACACAGATGCATGACATATATACTAGTCCTGCTCACAAATCGCATGCTGCATGCATGCAACACCATACACACACACAGACACACCACATCTGTAAATAATAAAGGGAGGGTGGTGTAAGGGCTGACGAGGGTTCTGTAGCTGCAGAAGAAGCTGTTAGTTCCCTGACTGTTCATCAGGCCTACATTCTGCCAGCCACATGATGGTGATAACAGGAACATTAGCGCTCTACCACTTCATAAGACCTTACAAATTTAAGATTCGGCTAAGGGAAAATGTCTCCCACATAAAGAAAATTATCTTTAGACAGTTCAGGCTTCAGGAAGAACATTATTAAAATGATAATGGAAAATGTTTACTGAACGACCTTATGGTGCCACAGTAAATGGGAAAGAGGCCTATGTTTATTGAAGTAAAAAAGAACGCACTTAGAGCTCACAGCTTGAAGAGACAGAGAACAGATTAATAATGACTAGGTAACATTCCAGGCATCATGGTTTATAAAAGATACAGTACAGAATTGACTGAGCACATTATAGCTTGCTGCAGGGACCGTGGGTTCTAATTTTCCATTTCATCTGTGTGACACAAAAGCTTCTTTCAAGAGGCAAAAAATGAGCCCTCTTTTAGGGATGGATGAGAATGATTTGCTAAGGACCGAACCACATGTACACACCGCAGGTCGGAGCTCAGCTTTGCTCTAAAGTTGACTGTTCTAGGCAGCTGCACTGCAGTCTGACGGTGGGGTCTACCTGTCTGGGTCTTCTCTGTCAGTGTGAAAGAACTACCATTGTGTTAGCAGGGCTGGGCGTGGGTGGCATGGGATTTGTGAGCCATGAGGAGCTCTGGACCCCTTGACCATACTCACTTTGCTGGAGGAACAGAAGCAAGCTGTAACCAGAGCAATCAACTGCCTTTCCACAAAGTTCTTCAGCATAGAAACCAGGTTGTTGGGGATCTATGACTCAGCCTTCTGTGCTCAGAGGCTGTGCTTGCTTCCTGTCATGATAACAAACGCCTGAGATATGCAAGGTTTACTTTGGCTCAGTTGTGGAGGCTCTAGTCCACCTCAGGGAGACCCACTGCTCTCAGATTCCTGGTGGGGGCAGCACACCATGGCAGGTACACACAGAGGAGAGTCACTCACCTCAGGAACAAGAAGACAAAGAGGGAGAAAGCAAGGAAGGGGCTGGGCTCATTGTCCCCTTCAAGGGCACAGCACAAGGCCTGAAGACCTTCCGATAAGCCCCACCTCTGGAAAGCTCCACCACCTCCCAACCTGCCACAGACCAATGCCAGGCCCTCAACACAGGGCTGGTGGGAGTCACTTATCTAAACACAGAGGCTGCTACAGACCTGGGAGGCCTTGCCAAAGCCTAGATCAGGCACGTGTGTGTGATGCAGCAGATTTTTCTCCCGTTTCTGCACTGACATAAGAATAGGCTGCGGGATTCCTATAGGTCCATGTCATACCACACGTGTCACAGTTTTCTCAAGTGCTCAGAGAAAGATAGACTTCTTGTGAAAACATTAAAGGGACACCAGAAGGCATGTCTCTGAAGTTAGACACACTGCAAACACAGCTAGGTAAACCCTCAAAGCAAGGTAGGGTGACTACCGATTACAGCAAGTGTGATACATTTCTGGATGGTCAGAATACAACTGAACACACAGAAATGTTCCCGTTTGAGGAGGCGGAAGTGCTTATCACCAAGATTTATCATTAAACACTGACAAAGGTGTTGAATTATCATACTGTACCCCATAAAGAGGCACAGATATTATGTCTCAGTAAAAGATAATTTAAAAGTCCTTTGAGAGATTTCGTGAGATTTCAAAGGTAACTCAGACCATTAAGTAGCTCTGCTTTAATCTTAGGACATTTTAAATTATTTTGTTCTTGCATACATGAAGAACGCATATTTTCAGATTTACTGAGGTATAATAGGCACACAGAATGTTTATATATTTGGCTGGGTGCATAAAATACATGGAGGTGCATGTCTGTAAACTCAGAACTCTAGGAGGCTGAGGCAGGAGTGTGAGCCAAGCTTGGGCAATTTGGTGACATAGTGAGGCCCTGTCTCAAAAAATAGATTAGATATAGATATAGATGTAGATGTATATGCATGCTGCGGATGTAGTTCAGTGTAATCCCCAGTATTAACTGTGAGATGTGATGCAGCCTGTACCGTATTCAGGTATATTTCATGCATACCTGATTTTGAGATTTTTTTTTTTTTATGAAAGGAAGTAGAATTTTGCCAAATGCTTTCTCTGCATTTGCTGAGATGATTGTATGGTTTTTTTCGTTCATTCTTTTAAAATGGTGCCTTACATTTAAAAAAATGTTTTGTCACACCACCCTTAAATCCCAGGGATCTCACTTCTTGGCTGTGCTGTATGACTCTTTTAATGTGGTGTTGAATTCATTTTGCTAGTATTTTGTTGAGGATTTTTACATCAGCACAGACCTGCAGTTTTCTTTTCTGTGTTCACATAATTGAAAGCAGCATACCTACCCTAACCCTAAGAATGGCAGTAGGAGAGGAAGTTGCAAAAGACATTCTTTTTCGTCAAGCCTATGAAAATCCAACCCAAAGTGGGTATATCAGCCAGAAAATATCTATGTTCTCATGAGGCAGACAGAACTTTTTCAGCATCTCCATTTATAAACTAAATATCCATTCAGGTTTTCTCCTGTCTAAAATGCCTCATAGCAGAGTGAGTTGCTAAGCATGTTTCAAATATTTTGGATATTTAAAAAGATTGACATATGTGTAGCTATAAAAAAGCACACACACACACACACACACACACACACACACCTCATCAGCTCCTTCATATACCTTAAAAGGAGTGCTTCATTTTCTACTGAGAGAGTCTGGCAATCACTTGAGAACATTAAATTATTCCGAACTGAATTACAAACAGATTGTCTGGATGACTCGAGTAGGACTCTGTGTAGGTGTTTCAACATTCTTAGAGCCAGCCTTCCTGGCTGTGAGCCACGCTGACACACCAGCACCGTGGGTAATCTTCCTGTACGACTCACACAGACTCATTCTCCAAACTTGATGACAACAGAGCCATTAAATAATTGTCACTTTGCTTTTCCCTATTTCAAACCAGATTGTCTGATTCATATTGGGCAACAGCAAGAAATCTCAAAATTACAAATCTAACCTTTTTTCTGGCTTACCTAAACAGCAGGAAATGCAAACTCAAACTCTTTTTTTTTACACTGCCTTATTTTCAAGGGGTTTATTATCTTACATTTAAAATAGAATGTTTAAATGATTGGACTTTGTCAGTCCTGTCTTATGAGGAGCTTCATCAAAAATGGAGTAAGAGTACAGGGAAGTCTGCAGAGCTGGACTTTCACTAGTTGAGTCCGAGTAGTCTGTAGCCTCCTGAGGGCCCAGACGTGAGGAGAGCATGGAGAGGTGTATGCATGAGGGACAGGTGGTCTGGTGCAGCAATGCCGGGACCTGTGACATTCCAATACCGGTGTCCAGGCAGAGCACGCTGGAAGGGCTGCTGTTATCTGAGTGCTCCTTTATTCACCTGCTCTGCCGGAGAGATTTGGGGCAAGAATCAGGGGTAAGCATGAAAAGAAAGGAAGGGAGGCCACATAGCTGTCACAAATGCGTTTGTGTAAGACACACTCTCTACCCTCCAGGAGGTGCCAAACACAGTCCTTAAAAGTCAGGCATTAAAAGTCCTGGATTTTATTATTTGGGTGTTTCCTGAACCTGTCTGGAAAAACTACAGAAGGAACACAATTCGGGAGCCTCTAGACTATATATGAAGACTGCTTTTCCAGGATTTTGATTTATTAATAACTTTGCAAGTATATGTGCATGTGTGTTCTTGCACATGTGTACGGCACGGTGCTCCTGTGTTTTCTGCACTTTTTGCCATAGTTCATTTTTGTTCGTTTTGCTGTAGTTCTGCAGGCTGTCTGAGGGCAATCGCTTCAATCGGCAGGTTTTTCCTGAATATCTCCTTTGAAGAATCTGTGTATACATCAGAAATCCCTGCCTTCTCTCTGCCCTACTTCTCCTGACAGGGATTATGAAGCATACAGTCATCAAAGCCTGCCAAATGGACTCAAATCAGGGTTCTTCAGAATATATAATACAGTATCATCAAATTCTAGTGCTATGCAAGTACACTCAAACTACAGTTTTCTGGCATACTTATGTGAACAATTATGTCATAAGTTGTATTCAAGTGAAAATGAGTTGCATTTACCAGTGGTTCTTCTACGCGCCCTTCCATGAGAGCAGCTCCCGTGTGAAATGCTGCTTTCGGGGTCCATCCCTTCTGCCCTTCACCTGACGTCCAGGTGCCATGGATACTGTTCGCATCTGAGTAATTTCTGAGCATCATTCCAGTGTCTCCGTTCAGATTTATTCTCTTTTATAATAAAGTCCCACAGTAAAATCAATTTCAGTTCCCCCAAATGTGGAGGAGAACATATTAATCAGCCCCCATTTGTCCTTTTATTTATCAGGACGGGCAGATCTGTGGCCTCCACCTGCTGTCCCCATGTTCCTGCCACGCCTCCGACTCTCCCAGCTCTTTTCCACACACGCAGGGGACTCCTGCTTACTTTCATTAGTACGCATTCGCTACACTTGAAAGTTCAGATTTTTCCCCCCTAAAAACCTAGTTATGTAATTTTTCTGATTCAAACTCTTCCGACAGAAGTAGTTCACTGGGTTGGATTAGTTCGCTGAGAGTTGAGGAACAACCATGTCATCAGAATCAAGCAAAAACCCGAAGCCCAAAGTGATCCGAAGTGAAGGGGCTCCAGCTGAAGGAAAGCGGAATCGAACTGACCCTGAGCAGGTAGGTAAACACTGCAGTGAGGAGGCTGAGGTGGACCTGCGGGACCCCGGCAGAGACTACGACCTATACAAGTATACGTGCCAGGAGCTACAGAGGCTGATGGCCGAGATCCAGGACCTGAAGAGCAGAGGTGGCAAGGATGTGGCAGTTGAAATTGAAGAATGGAGGATCCAGAGCTGTGTGCATTTCATGACTCTAAAGAAGCTTCACCGATTAGACCACATCAGGTTGAAGAAAGGAAGAGATCAGACCCATGAGGCTAAGCAAAAAGTAGATGACTATCACCTGCAGCTACAGAACTTGCTGTATGAAGTGATGCACCTGCAGAAGGAGATCACCAAAACATGGAGAAATCGATCTGGTCAGTTTAGGGGAGTTTTACAAGGAGTCTCCACCAGACATCAGCGTGACTGAAGTCACCATGGGAGACCCTCACCAGCAGACCCTGGCACGTCGGGACTGGGAGCTGGAGCAGCGGAAAAGACTAGCAGAGAAGTACCGAGAGGGCCTGTCCACAAGGAGAAGATCCTCAAAGAGATTGAGGTGAAGAAGGAGTACCTAAGCAGCCTTCAGCCTCGGCTCAATAGCATGCAGGCTTCCCTCCCAGCGCAGGAGTACCTGTTCATGCTGTTTGACCAGGCTCACAAGCAATATGAGACAGCCAGACAACTGCCGCCACCCCTCTACGTGCTCTTTGTACAGGCCACCGCCTATGGGCAGGCCTGTGGTAAGACCCTGACTGTGGCCATCAAAGGCAGTGTAGATGAGGCTCTGTTCAAGCCTCCTGATGACTCCCAAGATGACAAGAGTGACTCGGATGCTAAGGAGGAACAGACCACGAAATGGCGGCGACCCACCCCGGGAGTTCAGTTGGATGACAAGCACAGGGAGATTCTGAGGAGACACCCTCTGTCCGTCATGGTTGACCTGAAATGCAAAGATGATAGCATGCCTCACCTGACTTTCTACTACCTCATGAACCTCAACATCCTGACCGTGAAAGCCAAAGTGACACCTGCCACGGAGCTGATCACTCCCATCAGTGCATCTTGCGTTCTCATGACTCGGTGCTGAGTTTGTATCCTGGTGATCATGGAAAGAAAACTCCAAATTCAGCCAATCAGTACCCGTTTGATAAAGTTGGCATTTTGACTTTGAGAGACTATGTACTTGACCTGGGTCATCCCTATTTGTGGGTACAGAAGCTGGGAGGCCTCCACCTCCCAAAAGAGCAACGCCAACACACAGTGATTGCTCACTCACTGAGCACCAGCCACATGGAGACGACCATGAGGCTGCTGAAGACCAGGGTGCAGTCCCGTCTGGCCCTCCACAAACAGTCTGCATTCCTGGAACATGGCATTGTGCCAGTTACCAGTGACTGCCAATACCTCTTCCCTGCCAAGGTTATCTCTCACCTAGTGAAGTGGGTGACAGTTGCCCACGAGGATTATATAGAACTGCACTTCACCAAGGACATTGTGGAGGCAGGACTGGCTGGGGACAACAATCTCTACTACATGGCACTTATTGAAAGGGGCACAGCCAAACTCCAGGCTGCTGTGGAGTTGAACCCTGGGTACTCCTCCATCCCACCCATTTTCCAGCTCTGTCTAAACTGGAAAGGCGAGAAAACCAACAGCAATGATGATGACATTCAGGCCTTGGAGAGCGAGGTCAATGTGTGCTACAAGGAGCCCGGGCCTAGCCACCAGCTCTTGACCAACCAGCTGCAGTGGCTGTGTGTGCTCCTAGATGTCTACCTGGAGACTGAGAGCCACGATAACAGTGTGGAGGGGGTCCAAGGAATTTCCCCAGGAGAAGATGTGTCTGTGGCTTTTCAGGGGTCCAAGTAGGATGAAGCCATTTAAATATAACCATCCTCAGGGATTCTTTAGCCACCACTGACCTCCTGCTCAGCCAGTTGCTTCTCCCAAGATCCTGCCCCGTGCTTCTGCTTTCTGCTTTGTTTACAAAGCTCTTAACAGTCTCCCAAAACACTAGCCAATAAAAGCGTCACTTGACCAAAATAAGTAAGTAAATAAATAAAACTCTTCCGATATTTCCCATTTCCCACAGTATGAAGGCTCCTAGGCCATGCAGCTCAGGTCTGTCAGTCTCACCGTAACTGCATTCCATTTTCATGTCCACAATTAGCAGTAACAGGAATCGGTTACTATTTTAAGCATGACTTCCCTCTAAAGACATAAAAAAGTGTCAAGAAGTTGACAACAACTTCTTTTAAGATGTAAGGATTTTGACCCCAGTAGAAAAACAGTTTAATTAAATTTGCTCAAAATGTCATCTAGAGTCCAGTAATGCCATAGATTAAACTTGACCTCCAGCCACAGACAGTAGTCCTCAGGGGAACAGGTCTTGCAAAGGGGTGAGGATACAAATGTCATTTACTAGGAGGGGAGGAAGGTTGCTGGACATTCTTTAGTCCAGGAAACAATTGTTCTGCCTCCTGAACAACTTTTTTTTTTTCCTGGTACTGGGGGACTGAATCCAGGGCCTTTGTCTTGAGCTATATCTTCAAACCATTTTTATTTTGAGATAGAGTCTTGCTCAATTGCTAAGCTTCCCATTGGGCTTGAACTCATGATCCTCCTGCCTCAGTTTCCCAGTTGTCCTTTACAACTTTTAAATGCTCATAGAATACCCAGGTGGGTTAAAAACAAGGAAAAAATGATGCTTACCTATAATTTAAAAAACACTTCTTTATGCACAGGGACATTATGAACTTTTTCAGAAATACCCCTGATGTACACACAGATGGAAAATTCTAGTGAAATCTGTTTTGAAACTAACCATGAATTTTTCTCATCTTGTCCAGTCACTTTACCCAATGAGAGTGGCTTGTGGCATCTGACCTGCCAGGTCAGTGCACCTGAGCTGCTGTTTGTGGCCATGGCGTCTCCAGTGATGAGCCCCCTCCCACTCCACTCTGAGGAAGCCCTGCGAAATGTCTATAGAGTAGATTGCTTATTCTTTTATTATTTTTCTTAATGTCACAGATTATTTTGGTCTTACATTTTTAAAAATTGTGTTTAAGTATGTTACATTTTATAGATTTTTAATACAGGTGGATAAGGGGGGGCACCATTATTGTATAAAGGAGCCTGGATGTTATGGGTGTTATAATAGTTTGGTTTCGTTCCTCCACCATTACAGTTGATGTCCTAACCCCAGGGATGGTGCCTCATTTGGAAGTCATTTTTCTTTCTTTTTTTTTTTTTTTAAGGGGAATCAAGTTAAAATGAGCATTAATCCAAAGTTAGAATGAGCATTAACCCAAAATGGCATTGTTCTTATATAAAGGAAAGTTGAAAACAGAGACACATGTGGAAGACAACACAAATAAACATGGAGAAGATGACCATCAGTAAGCAAAGGAGTGAGGCCTAGGACAGATCCTTTCACAGAGTCCTCCAGAGGAACCAAATCTACAAAATCTTGATTTCAACATTCCAGGCCCCAGAGGCAAGAGACAACAAACTTGTGTTTCTGAGTCACTGTGGAGGGTTCTTAGTGGTCAATTTGAGTGAGAACGCCCACCTGAATTGAGTTAGCAAGTTATATCATTCTGGGGAATGGTTTAAAAGGAGAACTGGAGGGGAGCATTTTATGCTGGTTTCCTTTGGCAAAGCTCAACTGTTGTCTTTGGCTGAGCTCTGCCCTCAGCAAGGGTGATGGCTGTTCTCCCAGCCAGAGCTCTGGTCTTCACCTTCTCCCTGAGCACCCACTGTCTTCTGGCCTTTGGCACACACTCTTCAGCTGGAGACGGTGGTCTTGACCTTCTCTTTGGGCATCATCTTGTCGCAGATTCTACCAGCATCTGCCTTTCAATCTTCAGGCCAGACTCCCTAACCTTCGGTGCCAGCCCTTGGGCTTTCCAGACAGACCCTTTGGTCTTCCATAGTGAATTTCTCAGCCTCCTGATGTGAACTTGCACAGGACATTGCTGTGAGCTCTTGGCTCACAGGACACTGTCATGGGATCCAGGCTCTTGGCTGGATTCTTTGGATCTCTAGAGTGCGGACAGGTCTGTTGAACTGTCCTACATTTGACTCTGTGGCAATTACATAAGCTACTCTTGTACACTGCTGTGTCCTGCGTCGAATCTGTCCTCCTACAAACACTGACTAATACAGTGACCCAGTCTGTGGTACTTCGTTACTACAGCCCCAGCAGATGAATCCAATGGGATTGCACATCATGGACTCACACCGCTGCCGCCAAATTGCATCTCATCCCTAATCCATATTTTGAAACCCCGGTGCCCAGTGGGATGGTATTTGGAAATGTGGGTTTGGAGTGGTGATTTAGATCAGACTGATGAGTATGGGCCCTCAAGGAGGGGTCAGTACCCTTATAAGAAGGCGCCCAGAGTGCGCTCGCTGTGTGCCACATGAGGACACAGCAAGAAGGAGCCCTCTGCAAGAGGAAGCCTCTGCCTGTAGTCTCCTCTGTTTGGCTCCTCTCTGAGCACAGCAGGGAGCTATTTCATGAGAAGTGCACTGGGTCACTGGTTCTTATCCTATATTTCAAATACTGACCTAAGCAATCACCATGTTTTAACAATGGAAAATGCTCTATGATGTTTTAACATAATAAGTCGATAAACAGGATGGGTCAGACCTGCACAAATTTAAAACAGCCAAGTTCTACTACCAGGTACACATGGATATATACTGCTGCTGGTCTAAAGTCTAAGGTATTAGAGTGGACTAAAACTTAAAACACACCCAACCCATTTTTCTAAATCCAAAAGCTTTCCATTTGTTGGAACTAGGGATGTACTTCTTGGGGGTACAGTGCAGCTAGCATGTATTCATAAGGCTTCTTCATGACGAAGAAAGTCAGCGTTCTTCTCTTTCAGGTCTCCAGACTCTAAAAACCTAGCATTTTTTCTTTTTCAGAGCACTTCACTTTCCCAAGTACTCACTGATTTTTTTTTTTTTTTTTTTTTTT